GTACCACCAGGACAAAAATCACCGACTTTTACCTACCTGCAGGCAAAAACTATACAGAGACAACATAACGGATGTTAATATCGAGGCAGCGAAGATTAACCTGAAATAAAAAAGGACACCATGGCATTTCTAATAATTAATCATCGACGAAGATCACATTACCTAAGATAAATGAACATAAGTTAAGGACAAAAACTCGAACCAGACAGAACGAAAGATGACACTGAAGATGGCACAATGCCGAAACCGGTTTGTCTGCATACCAAACTTGACAAGGGATGACGGAAATTCGTTCCAAAGTAAATCACATACACAAGTATTATAGTGACTTTTGCAAGAGTAGTTAACATTTGGTGCTATTTTTTCAGAATATAGAAAGATTTTGCACTGTATTGTTAGTGGACATAAAACTGCTTTAAATACTGGTACGTTACCCACATAAAACTAAAAAAAATTTTACGTAGCGCACTTTGCAAGTGGACTACTCAATTAGGTTTTTAAGTGGATTGTAGACTGTTTTATGCAATAAGTAGCATGAATTCAGTATACTTGCGATTTCACATGTACTTCAAAGAAATTAAGAACATGATAATTATGAATAGTGATTTGAAAGATTCTGTTACTGAGCAGCTGGTCGTTTCAGAAGTAATTTTCTGCTTATAGATCGAGCTCGAGCTTACAACTGCTTCAAGATGTTGAGTTTTTCGCAGTTAAGTACTCGAAAAACGGCTTTAATGGCACTTTTGCTTGCTCTATTCCTTTTAGTACTATTCTTACCGAAACTGAAATATTGCATATGACAAAAACCGAAATAATGCATACATGAAAACGAACTTCTTGCTGTGTAGGCGGCCTCCGGCCGCCCTTAGGGTTTATAACCCTTACTAAGTAGAATTCTCCTTTCTGTGTTGCCGGAAAAGGCGACCGGAAGTATTTTTGCGCAGAACTTCTTTCTACGTAGGCGGCCTTCGGCCGCGCTTAGGGATTATAACCCTTACTAAGTAAAATTCTCCTTTCTGTGTCGCCGAAAAAGGGGACCGGAAGTATTTTTGCGCCGAACGTCTTTCTGCGTAGGCGGCCTTCGGCCGCGCTTAGGGATTATAACCTTTACTAAGTAGAACTCTCCTTTCTGTGTTGCCGGAAAAGAAGGGCGGAAGTATTTTTGCGCAGAACTTCTCTCTGCCTAGGCGGCCTTCGGCCGCGCTTAGGGATTAAAACCCTTACTAAGTAGAAGTAAATAATTCATATTAGAAAAAACCGAAATTATCCATATGCACACTTTCGTTAGAAAACCGAATAATGCAAAACCGAAATAATGCATATGTGAAAGACGAAGGTATGCATACATGCACAGTTTCGTATGAAAACCGAAATAATGCATACAAAAAACCCGAAGTAATGCATATGAGAAATAATGCATATGAGATACTGCAGCCGTAAGTTTAGTCCGATTTCAATAATTGTCAACGTTTTGCTTCTATGTGGCAAGCACCATAACCACACCGAGTTTGGTACAAATTGGTAGAACAGTTACCGAGATACATATATATGATCATAAGTGGGCGGTGCCACTACACTTATTTCATCGTAAAGAGTTGTTGCAAGCATCAATTTTGAATAGATTAGCTTTAATATTTACTGATTTATCGAAGATTTCGTATTTCTCTAAATGGCCGTTGTATGGGATGTGGGCGTGGTTATTGTCCGATTTCAAAAATTTTCGGCCATTTGGTATGTTGTACCAAGGCCACCAACCACAGTATATACAATAATAAACCTTTTTGAGTACTCCTCGGGGGTAAAATCTGATCAGGGTTGTTAATGAGAAGGAGCATGAACTTTGTTGATTCAGAGTTGTATACAAAACTACTGTGTTATGAAAGGGAGTAACAACCGTACTATGGCAGAGTGGCACAAGTCATGACTGAGTAATAGTGCCCGAAACTAATTGCAAAAGTGAAAAACATTGCAAATTATGGTCTATTATTATAGATACTAGTACAGATTATCAGAGTTCAGTGTAGAATTTGTTATATTACACCGTACATGATAATGAACTGTTAAATGCTGAAAACTCTTGTAACTTGTAGATCACTCAAACTTGGTTGTGCTTAATGGACTGTCTGGGCGGATGCGCTGGCAGGCTTGGGGTCTGTACAGCTTTACAAACCTTGTTTTTTTTATTTTTTTGTAATCAAGACTTAAATATATTCGGAAATGTAGAATTTGGCTTGATAAATTCACAAAATTTACGTTTTTCATAAAAATATCTTACAATGGATTTTTTTTATTTTAAACTTACATTTAAGAAAACTCCATTCAATGCTATAATTGCGATTTGAGCTTTCCAGTTTATAAAACACAAGCGTTAATTATGTACTTAACTATTGACATTATTTTTCATCAAGCATGAATATCAGCATACATTAAACATGGATATTATACTTAACCTACATTTTGTTCATAACTATCCTCGAAATTAACTTTTTCTAATCATGACGCGAAATTCCCCACAGTAGTGTTGCCGTGCGCGGAAAACGAAAACGCTGCGCACAACCCAATAGTACTCCTCGGGGACCAAATGGTGAAAAACTGCGAAAAGGTTTCTTACTGTATATACTGTGCTACCAACTGTGCCTAGTTATACACATGTAACCATAAGGGAGCGTGACTACGCCCATTTTCCAAAAATTTTTAATATTCTTATTTTTCGTCTAAAACTTATTGTAAATATCAATTTTGAGTGAATTATCTTCGGTAGTTACTAAAATATCGCAGTTTTCGTATATCTGAAAATTACCGTTATATGGGAGGTAGGCGTGGTTATTGTCCGATTTTGCCCATTTTCAATACCATCCGTCCTACGCCAGAAAGAAGTGCACGTACCAAGTTTCGTAGATATCTCAATTTTTTTACTCGAGTTATCGTGTGCGCAGACGCCAGACGGACGAACAGACAGACGGACGGACAGACATACGGACGGACGGACATACAGACAGACGGACGGACGGACCGACAGACGGACGGACGGACAGTCACCGCTTAATCGATTTCTGTTTTCATTCTGATCATTTATGTATTCATTTGTCTGTATCTATCTCGATTCGTTTTGCCTGTTACAAACAACCGTTATGTGAACAAAGTTATAATACCCTTGTGCACAAGTGCATGTAAAAAAAATAAGGTCGCATTTTTAATGCCGCCACCCCCTAGGATTGTTCTATACCGACAAAAAATATTCCTTTTTTTTGAAATAAAAAAAAATTTAGGGAGTGCTCAAAGCGCTCAAAGTTTTCAATGTATTTTATATGGAGAAAAAACCACTAAAAATGGTTAAATAAACAATTAGATATTAATATTTGAAGTCTCCTGAAGAGAACCACAGTTTTACGATTGAAAAATATTGATTTTCAAAAGTTGTATACCATTTTTACGAAAATTTGTTTTTTCCCCATATAAAATACATGGAAAACTTTGAGCGCTGTGAACACTCCCTAAATATTTTTTAATTTCAAAATAAAAAATAGGGGTATATTTATTTTCGGTTCAGAACAGTCCTAGGGGTGGCGGCATTAAAATTCCGACCTTATTATTTTGGACCACTCTAATGCACAGTTTCGGTTGAAACCCGAAATAATGCATATAGCAAAAACCAACATACATGCAGTTTCGGTTGAAACCGAAATGTCTAAATGCACACTTTCCATATGCGCAATTTCGGTGCCCCTAAACAATGATGCCGACTTTATTTTCATTAAGAAAGTTAATCATTGATTATTTTGCTGAATACTTTTTTATTAACCTCAAAGTAATATAAGGCAATCGAAGAGAAGCAAGTATAATGCAAAAAATGGTGGCCTCAAATATAAACCCTTAATTTCATGTTGTACTTTTTCCATTTTCATTAATTTAAGTGTCTCAGAATTAAGAGAATTTTCATGTTTGAGAGAGAGTGTTAATATTTACTTATATTGCCTGATACGGCGATTTGGGCCATATGCTTTTAATTTTATACACTTAATATTTATACAAGAGCCCGTGACTAAAAAATCACGAGTTTTCTCTCGTCGGCCCTGTTCTTGTATATAATACTATCGTTGGATTTGTATAACAAAATCTTTGTTAACAATAAAAAAACAATATACATCTGATACCCAGCATTATATTAATGCCGAATTTCCACTAGGCATTGAAATGATAAAAAATGTATGGCATTTAAAAAATTGCTATGTGGAAATGAACTTAATGACTATTGTTTTAATGTAATGACACGATAATTTTTTAATGCCCGACTTTGTCATTTGTCATTTTTGCCATTTAATGCCTAGTGAAAATTCAGCATAAGTTACAGCCGTAATATCGTTTCGGCAACTAGCAACGCAACTGAAGTTCGGTTGCTATCGACAATCGACACATAAATGATGATGGTAATTTCATTGAAAAAAATGCAATTTTCGTTTCGAATTTTCACCACAGCACCATAAGATACCCCCTACAAAAATCTATAGAAATCAATAGTTTTCGAATTTTTTCCTGCTTCCCAGCTAGTCGAAAAGTATTTTTTTTTTAACGCCCAGCGTGGCTTGAAGTGAATCCCTCCATATGTATCTTCTCTTTTGTGATTGCGCAATGTTTTTTGGGTTAATTAATTTGTAATCCATTATAAAGTTTATTGTTAGTCAAACCAATTAAGATGAACATAAAATTTAAAGACTCATAAGTTAATAAAACATACTCGCCCCCAATTTAAAATATAGAACACCAAACTAGGTTCAAAACCCTTGAATAACAATCCATATTAAAATGAATGGATAAAACTTATAAACCGACAAAATCACTGATTAACATAATATTCCTATATACAATACTTTCATATTAATGCAAAACGCGATGAAATCTGCATAGTATATTGTAATGAAGATTAAATATATATACATTAAACTATATATTATATATATTAGTGCCAATAATGGAAATATATTGCAAATAAAACAAATTAATTAAAATTAATTTTACTGTTAGGGACTTTTTAAATAAAACATTTGTTTTTATTGTAGATATTTAGCTTTATTTGGCATTTCCACAAACTTTTGCCAAAATATTAACGAGCTTGTACAAATTCTTCCACCGTAGTTAATACGTTAGAAATATGCATATAAAAGAAAGTAGATAACTAGGCTTTATTACTAACATGCATGAATGTAGCGTTAAAACACACACACAATGGGCCGTATGCATAAAAACTAAGCAATTGCTTTTTCTTAAAATTTCATACCTTTCGCTTAAATTTATTTGAACAAATCGAGTAAAAGATCTGAAATTGTAAGAAGAATAATTTCGTAGGTTTTATGCATACATCCCAATATGTTAAGAGTTTAAAATGCAGCCGAGTACGGTTAAACGTTTATGATTTGCATTTAGAGGCGGCAGCTTCTCTCTCTACGGCACGTTGTTTCGCTTTTTCATATAGAGGCACTAACTGACCTTGTTCTCCCAACATTTTTAGTAACTGCACTATAAATGGTAAATAGTTATGCTTACGTCGCACATTCTCAATCTGAAAAAAGCGGTCTTTATTGACTTTGGATTTTATATACAGTATACTACCTTATATCGTTTCCTTTTTTCGACCTCGTGTTCTATTTTCGAACGCAATTTAGCTATTTCAGTCTCTCGATCATCGTCTGTCTCCATAGCATCATCGGTGGTTGCTATTAGCTTGTCTATTTTTTGCTGATATATCTTCAACCTATCAGACACAAGAGCCATAAGATTAAAATGGATTTCTCCTTCGCTGTACTTTTGCATGCGCTTCTCAATAATTGGGCGAATGACGTCGATCCAATTTTGATCAGGGGATGCAGGGCCCAAATCCACCGGTCCTTCTTTTAAACCATCCAACTCATACAAACGTCCATTTATGGGTATGTAGCCAATAAAATGGTAAACGTCGTCATCTTTGTTTTGATTTTTCGTATCTAGCTCGTAGAGGGTTTGTCGCGCAAAAGAATTGTGAACGGAGCGGATTTTCGGTGCGTTGCTAAGCGTTAAACCTTTATTCAAAGGGTCAAATGACTGCGAAAATTCTTTGAATTCAGTAAGCGTTGGTCCCAATTTTATATCTTCGTGATTGCAATTCAATAGTATGCTTAGTATGGCTTGCGTAGCGCAAGCATTATTTATAACTTGTTTTGCGAAGAAAATGTTATCTAGACGATAGTCCCTCACGACTGAACCAGTAGGCTCGTCGTCCTGGACCCATTTGAATAGGAAAATCAAGCCATGTATAGGTTCAAGGTCTTTAAACAAGTCGGGATCTAGGCTCCAGATTTCTTCCACTTGCACACCTTCACAGCCTGCGTAGAATAAATTAAAAATATGCACATATATGTATATGTTGACATAAGCACTCTACCATTCGATTATATTGAACCAAAACATGGAACTAGCGTAATTTTGAGGGCAGTTTTTTATGGGTCTAATTAGCAAAAGCAATGCTTTTATGTCGACCATCAAAATGGATTTTAATAAAATTTGCAAGTTGCATACCAGTTATTACAAATTTTCTTACCAAATTCACGAATCAGTTCCGTAAATACGCCGGGATCACTTTCAATCAAACACCAACTGCCTGCTCCGTCCGACATTTCGCTTCTATATGGTTAAAATACAAATAAAAATTTATAACTTGTATTCGCAATGATCTGATTTTTTAACAATTATTTCGCGACACACATAAACTTTCTTCCAAGGCGAATTTAATAAGAGGTGGGAAAATGTCGACGATGCTATCCATATATCGAAGGTTCGTATTTTCAAAACATATTTTCGATGTTTTAAAACTATCGATACTAGCGTCTGTATGTAACTGCGCGTTTACATTGGACAATGCTGTTAAGACTATAAAGAAACACGTGCTACATGCATACATAAAAGTGACAAATGTTCCTCTTCTGCCTGAAAATCGACTGGAAAATACATAGAAATATCCTGTAAAAACGTAGAAATAAACTGTCAAAATGTTAGACAGGGTGTTTAAAGGTTTTAAAGACTAAAGTTATTGAAATAATCTTAAAAATTCGCCAAATATGCATTGAATTAAACGAATTCCTATGTTTATATAGCAGTGTAATATTTTAAAGCATTTTGGTCAATGACTTCTAAATTTAATAGAACTTATCTTGCTGGTTTTGTCAGGGTCCGTTTAAAGTTTTTTTTTTTATATATATATTAAGTGTAACCCTTTAGCACATAAAATCAGGTGATCTCAACTGTGAGGCATTTCGGGAAAACATCTGATTCTTTTTTCACTTGTAAGTATGCACAATGAACACGTATTAATTGCCAAAAACGCTAATAATTGTCTCCTGACAATAGTTAAAACAATTCATTTTGAGCAAAATGTCGAACGTGAACGTTGAATTATAATCTGCAGAAATACGCATTTCGCACGAGCTATTTGAGCTAAAACTAAAAAATAAATAAGAGACAAAGTTACATACACATCAGCGTCTCTTTGGGGTTAGATTCCTAGGGACCCCTTACAAAAATGGCGAAAAATCACAATGGCGCATATTCATAGTCATATTTAGTACTCAACTAAGTCGAAACTATTCTAAGTCACAACTGAAGCTATTCATAGTCATCTTAGTTTCGACTTATCTGGCTAAGTACCAATTTAAAATTTAGTTTCGACTGCAGCTGCAACTAAGTCGTAACTAGGAAGAAGTAATTTATCAAATTAAGGGAAAACAGATGAAATATGTAAAAATTAAGTTGGTAGAGGGTGATTTTGATAATATTGAATAATCTCCAATTAAAATTTACAAAGAGCGATCCATTTTAATCAGAAGATGAAATTAAATGCGTATTACAATTCGAATAATTTAGATAAATTCTCAAATAATGGCTGCATTTCTTTATTCATTCTGAACGTTTGGAATAAACTTTTTTGTTTACTTATTCTTTAGAACGTTCCTGATGATATGTTAACGTATATTTCAAAGGCATTCTGTTTATTCCGGATGAGAAATGGGATTATCTGGAATGTATAAAGAAACGCAGCCAATAAGTCAGTTTCACGCTAATTCTTTTAAAGTAAATTTGTGCATAATTGGGGTGTTCACAGTTCGTTCCAAATTGTGTCTGAAAATGTAGACGTCTACATTTTGAGACATCTTTAGCATCAAACTGTGAGCACCCCTTTCTAGCAGTCGTCGCAAAATCGTCTCAAAACTTTGTGGTGTTGCCAGACATTTCTTCTTTGCGTGCTTTTTTATATGTCGCCTTTCGATTTTGTTTCTGAAAAATTGTAATTATTTAACTTAATTACCAATTCCTAATATTTGTTATTTCTTTTCCTTGACTTATTTCTTTTCATCAGAAATTGCGCTCAAATTAAATGTAAATATAGAAAACGTGCCCAATAAATAAAAAAATGCGATTAGTATTGCCATAATGCAACCCTGCTGCGAGGTTGCAAAATGTAGACGCGTAAAAAACATACCTTTGAGTGTGACAAAATGTAGACGGCGTCGTTTTCCAATTTTGTATGGGAAACAACAACACCACAGATTTTACGGTTAGAAAACGTCTTAAAATGTAGACGTCTACATTTTGAGACACTATTTGGAACGAACTGTGAACACCCCAAATGGTACGATTATCCTCGAAACCATGATACAATAATTTTTAGAAGGTAGTTTCACTTCTTCTTCTTATCCGCCATGTTAGCTATCTGACAGAAAACGTGTTTCGTATTTTTTGTTGTACCAACTTTTTCAAAAAAAAAAAAGTCCAGCTTTTGACGTTGGAAAAATAAAACAAAGAAAAGCCAAACATATAAGTAGAGAAATTTTCGAATATTTTGTAATAATTTTCTTCATAAAAAATTAACTGCTGCTTTCGTGGATACTGCAACACACGGAATAGATGTAAGGACACAGCTATAAGAGCCACCGCACACCACAGACTTTATCGGCCGCCTATTTAAATGATAGGGCTCGCTTGAAATATGTACATGAAGATGTATGGAGGTGCGCACATTACACCAGCTTAATCGCTCTGACCAATGAGTTGTGGTGCAATGAAAAGACTAGCGAGCACATCTAAATTGGCGGCCAATAAAGTCCGTGGTGTGCGATGGATCTAATCTATTATAAACAAGAAATATTGCTGTTATATTTTCATTTTTATGATTTTTATTAATTAAAAATTAAGTGATCAGTTATGAAGCATATAAATCTTTACATGTTCTGTTAAAAAATATCTAAAATAACAAGCGATAATCCCCAAGTTCTATATCGTAGCAGTGGCCACATTGCGTGTTTGTCACAGACACGGTTTATGTCAAAAATTTTGAAGTGAAACTACCTTCTAAAAATTATTGTATCATGCTCGAAACCTTGAGGGATTTCCTAAATATACTCGGGCTCGAATCGCTGGATTGTTAAATAAATGCTAACGATGACCAAATTGTAGTACAATTAACTTTATTGTACAACAAACAATTTACAATACTTGCTAACACAGTAAAAACACTTTACAATACTTGTTAAAGCAATAACAACGCTTTACTATTTGTTAACACAATTAAACTTATAGCTTGCTTATTCGCAACTCAATTCTCCGCTCACTTTACTTGTAGCTTGCTGACTTGTAACTAACTCACCTCGCGGTGGCGGCGCCCTTATATACCTGCGCTGGCACTTATGGCAACTGTAGAACATTCTGAAGTTTATCGCTCATTCTCTTTCTCTCGCTGTTCGCAGTGTTCATCCAACTTGACGTTTCTCTTTGTGGAACATTCTATGTCATTCTTCGAACATTCTGCCTATTTCTCGTTGTTCGCTTTGTGTTGCCGCAGTATTCGCCACACTGCCCTCCACCTAAGTCTGATCGTCCCGATCAGACACACTTGCGGTTCCAAACGCTGCAAGCCTTTCCAAGTGGACCACCTTCATCTTGTTTCTTGGTCTCCCAACGGTCTGGATCCGATACACTACGTCATTTAGCCGTATTACGACCTTATACGGACCTTCCCAGTTGCATTCTAGTTTTGGGGACAAACCTTTCTTTCGTTGTGGATTGTACAGCAACACCAAATCTCCTTCCTGGAAACCCTCGGAATTCATCGCCTTATCATACCTGGCTTTCATCTTGTCACTCATAATTTGTGTGCGCTGTCTCACAAGAGCATGTATCTCTCTCAGCTCCTCTTCCAGGATGTTTGACGTCTCTTTTCCAATCCTTCTAGCATCACCAGTCACCCCAAACTTCAGATCACTAGGCAAACGGAGCTCACTGCCGAATATTACCCTTGCAGGAGTTTTACCCGTTGTTTCATGCACTGCTGACCGGTATCCCATCAGGAACAAGGGTATGCGGACATCCCAATCTTTTTGATTCTTGTCCACGACCTTCCGCAAATGCTCTTCCAGGGTTCGGTTGAACCGTTCCACCATGCCGTCTGATTGGGGATGAAGAGCCGTCGTTCGAGTTTTCCGGATACCCAGTATCTGGCACATCTCTTGGAACACCGCCGACTCAAAATTTCTTCCCTGGTCAGAGTGCAGCTCTATAGGTACACCGTATCTCGCAACCCAATTGTAGGTGAATACCTCCGCTTCTGTTTTAGCTTCCTGGTTTGGAATCGGGTATACCTCCGGCCATTTGCTAAAGTAGTCCATAACCACAAGGACGTATTTGTTTCCCTGTACGCTCATAGGAAATGGACCGGCTACATCCATGGCAATCCGCTCGAAAGTTGCACCTGAGTTATATTGCTTCATCTGGCCATGACTTCTGGATTTCGGCCCCTTAGCTGCAATACACTCCGTGCAGTTAGCAATCCACTCTGCGACCGATTGCCGACAACCAACCCAATAGAACCTCTGCTTAACCTTCTCTAGGGTCTTCGTGATTCCCAGGTGCCCTCCACTAGGACCATTGTGGAATTCCTTGAGTGCATCCGGAATTCTTACCCTTGGAACTACTATCAGGTTGCGGGAGCACTGGCCATCTTCGCTTTCCCATACCCTATGCAAACAGCCAGATATTATTTTTTAAGCTGTTCCATTGTGCCCAGTACGCCTTTGCGATGGGGCTTTCCGCTGCCATTTGCTCCTTAGTTGGCCTCCTGTCCACCTCCAGTCCATGCATCAAAAGCTCCAGATCTGGATCTTCCTGCTGACACTTTCCACTCTTCCGCTGGTGTTATTGTCGTTAGACGGACGTCTGTAATGTCCTCTTTTCCCTCAGCTTTTGAGCAGTGTTTACATTCCAGGCTACATGGTCGGCGGGACATGGCATCAGCATTACTGTGGACACTTCCCTTGCGGTGCTCAATAGCGAAGTCATAACTTTGCAGTCTCTCAATCCACCGAGCTAGCTGTCCTTCTGGATTCTTAAACTGTAGTAGCCACTTCAGCGCTGCATGGTCCGTTCGAACTCGGAAACGTTGCCCATAGAGGTACTTGTGGAAATGTTTGACGCAGTCCACCAACGCTAGTAGTTCTCTCCGAGTTACGCAGTAGTTCCTCTCTGGTTTTCCAATCGACCGGCTATAGTAGGCAACTACCTTCTCCTGCCCATCAATTACCTGCGACAGTACGCCTCCTATGGCATAACCACTAGCATCCGTATCCAAAATAAACGCTGCACCTGGAACGGGATACGCTAGCATAGGTGCAGTACATAGTCGTTCCTTCAGAGTCTGGAAAGCCTCCTCCTGCTCCTTGTTCCACTCGAAGGCTCTATTTTTCCTA